CCCCCAAAACAGACCATAGGCAAGACTCACGTAAGTATGTTTTTTTCTATAGTGTAATACTGATATTGATTTAGGGCCCTTTTCAATGGTAGACGTTGTCGGTTCCTCCGACCTAACGTAAATCGTGGGTAAGACCGAGCCAATAGGCTGGTCAGCCCTCAAACAACTTCCCAAAGAATGCAAGTTTGAGATTTGAACAGTTTTAATCCGCATTGATGATAATATGCTTTATTTAATTAAGAAGCGTGCTTTGACTCTGCTATCGGGAACAAACCACCGGGCTGAGTAGGATGCAATATCTAAGAAAATAGACAGAAATACTCGATTAATAGCTTACCCCACTAGAGAATCGAACAAACGCATTCCGCTTGCATCGATGAAGATTCTAACCCCAAGACCCCAAGACCCCAAGACCCCAAGACCCCAAGACCCCAAACGCTGGTTATAATTACCAAAACAAGAGCGGTGGTGATCAATTAATTTTATGTCAGTTCCAATCTACATATTGTCGTAGACGGCCATGGCCGTAGTCGAGTTGAAAAGTGGTTGTCTTACAAAAGCGGACGTCTCGCACAGTACAATTACAATGTTATTTTTTCAAACGCCAAAGAGACAATGGGAACAGGTTATCATAATACAAAATTCTTGCACAGATGATTGTCTTATAGTATACAGGTGGCCGTTAGAGCAAATTCGACAGCATTATGGTTATGTAAGAACCTCGGGACCTTTGACTTTACCTCACCGGCGTTCTGTGGTGTGGGGTAGCGGTTAAGCGCTTCGCTGTCGCACGCAGGAGACCTGAGTTCGAATCGATTCCAGAGTAGGTAGAAAATGTTTTTTGGAGTATCTCGGTCTTTCTTCTGGGGTGTTGTATCCCATATCCCTCTCAGCCAGGTTTGGCCCTGACAGGCAGGGTCAGAAGCCCTCCTCCAAAATGATCTAAATTGTGTCGATACTTACTTTTTACTTCTCTATCCCCTGTTGCCGTTAAGCGTTGAGGGGATATGCACTTTTCTATTATTTTTCTATGGTGCGTAAAAAAACACATTTGATAAAAGACTAAACACTTCAAATTAATATATTATCCTCCTCTCAGGATTTAAACCAGGGTTGCTTACAATCACCCACTGTGATGTAGCCTAATCACTTACAACAACAGGGAGAGAGGGGGAATTGAACGGTTTTTTATTTTGCGTTTGTAATTTTGTTGTTCTTTTTTAGGATTCTTCCTTAATTGGGTCAATCGAGAATCACAATTGAGCATTCTCTCATCTCAATAAATAAAGCTGTGCAATATGTGGGTGGTTTAAGTTCGAATCCGTCTCGTGGGCACAGTTGCCATTATAGTTTCATAGATTATCATCAACGTTGTCCTATAGGAGCTGAATTGAAATTAAGAAGGGTTCGTGTCACCTCAGAAAAAAAGTGTAAGTTGGGTAACAAGCGACACTGAACACGAAAATTGATGTTGAAGAGGGATATTAAACAATAAAAACAAACACTATCAGCAGAAAACGCCACATCCGTGACGGGTGCACATCAAAGACATTTCTCTCACCTTCTGTGCCAGCAATGCCAATGTCTTAGTACTTAGTTGTTTCTCTCCCTATTGTCTCCACACAAGAACATAAGATGATGAAAAGCCATTAGTGGCATACTAAAACACACATATCCCACCAACGTGAATGTCATACGGGATAGTCCAACATCCCGTGGAAAAATCGTGACAACAGAAGCCAAATCGACTGGCAATTTTGAAAGTACGTAATATTACAATGCGTTATTTCCTTCGTCCTTAAAAGTCAGACATCAACTGACACTTGGAAACTCGCGAATTACGACCGTCACAACTTGTTGATATCCGTTATTTCAAAGTCCAGACGCATAATTGACTTGATGCGAAAAACGGCGTTCCTGTTTCCGTCTTATTTTTGAGTCGCTCGTTTTCTTTCTCTTTCAGTAATTTCTCCTGAACGTAGAAAAGCGATCTCACTCCAAGACGAATCAGGGCGATGCCATGCGGCATTTCTCGCTAGGTTTTCCACGCCGTTCGCCGTCGTGAATCGACGCTGTAACGCACGGCCGCGATGCAAGAATCGTGGGAAGGGGGTGGCAGGGGGAGGGGTGGGAGAGACCTTCCTGTATGGTAAACCGCTGTTGTCATTGTTCTCAATTCTCTCTCTCTCTCTCTCTCTCTCTCTCTCTCTCTCTCTCTCTCTCTCTCTCTCTCTCTCTCTCC